AGGCTTCCAAAACTCTGCAAAATGTAAAGTTAAAACTAAGACATAAACTTCTCCAGCAATTCCTGGATAGTTATTAAGTACTTGTTTTTCAGTAGTTGATCAATAAGCGTTGTCGATGCTACTGTTGGTGTGTTATCATCGCTGTTGTTGTTGTTGTTGTTGTTGTTGATGTTGATGTCACAGTTTTTGTGAAATTTTCCTTGTTTCCTAGTAATCTGTTTCAATAAAATTAATTAGGACTAATGTAGTAATAATACAGTAAGTTTACGTGTTTGTAATTTTTGTCACTGTTCAAAAAGCCCCTTCAGGGGAGTGTCAATAATGTCAATGAATCAATTAATCAACAATGAACAACAATGTATATTGGCACCACCTGTTATCCTGACAACTTCTATGCATCTACCATGTTCTCGCATGCCTGCTAAAGTTTATTATGAACTATCAAGAAGATTTGGAACCCGAAATGTTTTAACAAGAACACAGAGATGGATTTACTGGGGGGGGGAGGATGTGGGGGGGGGTGCACCCGCCCCCCTAGCCCTGGCCAGAGGGGGTGCAGGAAGGGGTCCTATTTTTCATGATAAACAAAAAATTATTAGAAACAAAATGAGATACAGAAATTTGAGTAATAATATGATGATAGGCAAACTGTGAACAACAATTACAATTCAAATACTGTAGTCAAGCAAGACTTTGCAATAGTGAAGCAAGTTGATGGGTGGGTGGCACACATGGCCGACACAACTCGGCACCAGAGCGGGCAGAGTACCCCCCTGTCAGATCATGCTGGATCCATCCCTGCAAGAACATAAAATTAAGATGATTCAACAAGAACATCATAAAATTGAATATCATCTTTGTGACGTTATGGCCGGAATTAGTTTCTGCAAGTTGAATATATATCAGCCATTTTATTTTTCTTTCATCTGACATACTATAAATCTAACTTTATTTAACTGGTCAACTGTTAAACATCAGTCCCTTAAATTTTTTTACAAGCTACTGAGTGTTGATTGAAGCCTTGGCAAAAGTGCAATCACCATGAGCAGATACATGTACGCTTAGCGTACCTATTTTTTGAAATGTGTTCGACCTGCGCGGTCCAGTCTAAAGACTCGTCTATCATTAGACCCAATGATTTTGTCATTTCAGCTCTTTTAATTTCTAAGTTACCTCCCCTGATAGCAGGATCGACAGTCACTTGACTAAGCCTTTTCTTGGAACCAATTATCATATTTTCGGTTTTACTATTGTTCAGAGTTAATTTGTTTGCGGACAGCCAATTTGCAACATTGTTTAAATCTCTATTTAATGTTTCAGTGATAACTTTGATATCGTCACTTGATGTTGCAATTTGGGTATCATCCGCAAACATATCTGGTTTTGAATTTTTGTGTTGGTGTAGTGTACTCAGGTGAATATGATATTTGTGGTGTTACTCTGAGTGTATATCCACACCGTGCGAGCTTGAAAAATATGCCCGGCCACGGTGGGATTCGAAGCTACGACCTTTGGAATACTAGCCCAATGCTCTTCCAACTGAGCTACGCGGTCAGGACGGTTCGAGTAAGTGATATTTCGGAACAGAATCTAGTTCCTTCGATACCAATGTATTCTAGTAATATGAATTTTTGTGTTGGTGTAGTGTACTCAGGTGAATATGATATTTGTGGTGTTACTCTGAGTGTATATCCACACCGTGCGAGCTTGAAAAATATGCCCGGCCACGGTGGGATTCGAAACTACGACCTTTGGAATACTAGCCCAATGCTCTTCCAACTGAGCTACGCGGTCAGGACGGTTCGAGTAAGTGATATTTCGGAACAGAATCTAGTTCCTTCGATACCAATGTATTCTAGTAATATGAATTTTTGTGTTGGTGTAGTATTCCAAAGGTCGTAGGTTCGAATCCCACCGTGGCCGGGCATATTTTTCAAGCTTGCACGGTGTGGATATACACTCAGAGTAACACCACAAATATCATATCTGGTTTTGTCCCGGCGTTTAAACATTTTGGTAAATCATTGATGTAAATTAGAAATAACAATGGGCCTAAACCAGAGCCCTGAGGTATGCCTGTTTTCATAATTGATGGACTTGATAGTTTGCAATTCACACAACAACACTGGGTCGTATTTGATAGATACGACTCCAGCCAGCGATGTGCCGTTCCTTTTATTCCATAAGTTGCTATTTTGTCTAAGAGTATATTGTGGTCGACAGTATCGAATGCTTTTTTTTCAGATCCAGAAACACAATCCCATTTAGTTTCCCAATGTCAATATTTGTATGCCACTCGTTGGTTATGTCCAGTAATGCTGTAACAGTTGAGTGAAATGGTCTAAATCCGTGTTGGGAGTTTGAAAGTAGATTATAGTTATGTAAATAATTATAGATTTGGTTATAAATCAGCTTTTCCGCAATTTTGGCAACTACTGATATAACGGATATTGGTCGGTAGTTTGTCATTTCATCTTTAGCTTCAGACTTAAAGATCTGAGTAATTATAGCGATTTTACAATCATTGGGAAATATGCCTGTTAAGATTGACTGGTTGAATATTGATGTCAGGGATGTTAAAATAACTGCTGCCGAAAGTTTTAAGATACGAGGGGAGATACCATCGATTCCCGATGCTTTATTAGGCCCCAAACCATGAAGTAGTTTCAAAACATCATTTTCTGAAATTTCTTGAAAGCTAGGGAGCCCATTAACTGGATGGTGTACATCACTGAGAAAACTATGCGGTAAAATATTCGATCGAGGAATTTTATTCGTAAGTTTTTCTCCTAGTTCAACAAAGTATTTATTAGAGGCATTAGGGATCAGCGTTTCGTCAATTACTTCACCATTCTCATCTTTCATTTCTAGGATTTTATTATTAGTTGACTTTCTATTCATCAATTCGTTGAGTGTTTTCCATGTTTGTTTTAAATTTCCTGAATTGCTATGTAGTTTGCCTCGATAATAGGAGCACTTTGTATCTTTTATTTGCCTATTGTATTGTTTTTTTTTGCCTTTTTGTAGACAGACCAGGCATCAATTGTGTTGTGTTTTCTAGCTTTCCTATGTAAGAAATTAATATGTCGTTTATTGTGAATTAGGTCTGTTGTTAGCCAAGGTAGCCGCTTAGTGCCGACGTGCCGTCTTTTTACTGGGGCATGGTTGTTCCAGATTCTGAAGAATTTATTCTTCCAAATCTGCCAAGATATATTTGGATCGTATTGATCCAGGTCAAAATCGGGTAAGTAATTTTGTAGGTCGCGCAAGAATATTTGCTCGTTGAAATGTTTGTAGTCGCGGTATTCGATTATTTTTGCATTTTCTTTGAAGACCTTAAATTTTCTGATGCCATGAATAAGATAGTGATCACTTATGGAAACAGTTGACACTCCCTTTGAAATAATATTATCAGGATTTGTTGTATAAAAGTGATCAATTAATGTCCGAGTATCTTTAGTAACTCTTGTACGTTCACTTATCAATTGTTCATATTGATACGTACAGTCCTGTAATAAATTTGAGTTCCGAAGCTTGGGGAGATAGACTTGCGGATAAGAAGTCATAATTTACATCTCCTAGGATAATACTTTCTTTATTGTCATTGTCTATTAGTTGTAAACAGTTCTCAAATCTATAAAAGGTTTCAATTGGATCGTTTGGTGGTCGATACCACGTTGTAATTAAGAACAGTTTAACGTTATGTTTACTAATTTGCATTGTAAGAATTTCAGTATCATGATTATTCAGGTCAGTTCGAGGTCGAAAATTTATTGAATCTCTAATGAAAAAAACGATACCATCCCCAGATCTATTTCTGTTTTTGGAAATCCAATTGTAACCTTGAATGGCTATTGATTCGATTGACACACTATCGTCATCGTTCATTAATTGCAAGAACATCTATTTCTTTATCATTCATGCAGATCCGAAGTTTGTCAATGTGTTTTGGTAGACTTGTTATGTTCAAAGAAGCTACTTGAAGCCTCGGATAGCCGGAACTAACCGGTCTTGTTGATTGTCAATATAATTTAAATTTGAATTGTGCTCATAGCGTAGGGTTGACTTTCTAGTTTCGCACATTGTGCTTAATTCAATATTGTTAGTGTTACCACCTATTTTAATTGATTTTATAATTTTGTAAAAATAGTCAATATCGTCAATATCGCTAGGTTGGAGTTCATTTAGTCAATTCTTGGGGGATTCGATCAAGTTCTTTGCTAACATTGCCGTTCCTTGGCTATTCAAATGTAATCCAGATGCATGTAATTTAGAAGTATCTATGTTGGTATTGCCGAATAAACTGCCACTTGAATTTACCACAGAGCTTAGCTTGTAACGAATTAGTTTTATTTATCTTAATGTTGATAACCGGGTCCTGTCTCTTAATTATTTCGGAAATAGCTATTTTTGACAAACTTTGGGACACGATACCTTGACATAAGGATTTCATTTCGGCTACAATTTCGTCAGGTTCTTTACGTTGATTGTCATTAGTCCCTACATGTCGAATCACCAGTTTAGGTTGTTTCTTCATTGTGGGTTGTATGTAGTGGTTCATGTCGTTAATTGTTGCTCCAGGAAATGTTTTGATATGTTGACGTTTTCGCCTATTGAGCGACTCAGTTTAGGTAGTTTAATCATGTTTATCATGGAATCCCCTAAGACTGTTATGGGGCCTTCGGATTTCTTGGAGTTAGAATAGCTATTCTGGGGTGGAGAATCGGTAATAAGAGTTTTGTCAAAAGTTGATTCTTTATTGCCGATATTCTTGTGGGTCGTGATCGGTCTGACATAAGGCGGGCGTTATCCTTCTGTTGGTTCTACATCGCTGTCACTAAGGACTTCATATCTGTTAATATCCGCGATACCGGCGGCCGTTTTGTAAGCATCCTTGCTAACGTTTGGTTTCTTATTTCGAACAACATGCCAGGTGTCAACTTGATTTTTGGATCCACTAGGTTTGGATTGATCGAGTTGAACCAGCTTAATTGCCGTAATTAGGCTGGGTTTTTTTCGTGCTCCGTATCTTTAACTTTAGTTTGCAAGTCTGCCATAGCGTATGATATAGTCGCATTCCTTTGGCGTAATTCTAAGTTTTCATTTTTAAGATCGTCGATTTCCCGTTTGATCATGAGGTTGTTGATCAGATCAATTCGTTCTGGTTGACTTGTATTGGCCTTCAGATTGTTTACTTTTTGCGAAATCCCCTCGACCTTGTCGTCTATTCTTTGCATGAATTTACTCATGAGATCGTTTATCAATAGATATTGTTCTAAATTAATGCATGTTGAGTCACAGTTTGTGGACGGGCCATTAGTTTTTATTGAATCTTTATGCAAAGCACTGCTATATTGCAATTCGTCTTCACTTTGGCTAATCTCTTCTACTTCGTTTTCCAAGATGGAGATGAAGTTTGCTTTAATTTCACTTGCTTTATTTCCCTTGAAAGTGAGTGTTCCATTGGTTGAATACCAGCGCACAGAAAACTCTTCGCATTCATACAATTTCGAGCCACTGCCTGGAGTAATCCATTTGGCTTTTGGTAATTGCAATTTCTCGACGAGATATTTTAGGCTTTCAAAGCTACCGAGCCACTTCAGGGTTCCCTTATCTGTAATCTTTAATCCTTCCCCATATGTTGTTGCTTCATCTGTAGTAGACGATCTGAATTGCAGCTTTATAGATGGTTTACTAAATCGTATCGTGATTGAAATGGTCGACGCAGATGCCTTTAACGATACATATAAGAAGAACCCGTTCAATTTTAAAAATTACGATATTACAACCATGGGTCTCACTGTCAACGGAGAGAACTTACCTGGAAAACCACTACAGTTGAAAGTTGGAGCAGACAGTAATTAAATTTCTGCTTTTCAAACCTTGTACGCCGGCGTACACAAGATTTTTGATAAT